CAAAGGGCGGGGCAGGGCCAGCTGGTCACCTCCTACTATCCCGCGTCGAGAGCCTGGACTGGGTGTGACTCCGCCCAGCTGGCGGACTGCGGAAGCTCTGATGCTACAGGTCGAGTAGCGACAGCTGGGGATGGCTGGTCGTGGCCCCCACGTCGCCAAAGCAGGACGTGGCGGCCGTACCAGCCCCACTTTCCCAGTGGACGGGCTGCTGCGGTCACTGGAACCTCTCGATGCTCTCGTCGTCGTGGGTTAGACATCTGCCCGAGTCCCGCTGCGGCTATGTCCTTGGGATGCAAAGGAGAGCTGGGCTGACCGAGCTGGAGTCAGTAGGGAGACAGGGAATTGCATGTCTGGAGCTCATGTCCGGTCATCTCGCTGCCCGCCTCGCCCTTTCCAGCAAACGGGCCCTCTCCTCCACCCGTCCCCCACCCCCACTCCGGTATCCCGCCCTATGAGGGTACACAGAAACCCATGAAGGCCAGCAGTCAGGGTGGGGTCAGGACAACAGGGCCTGTGAGCCCTGATAAGGCTCCACAGAGGAGGGCTTTCTGGTACCCAGGGCCAAACCTATTGCTGCTAGATGAACAAGCCCCAGTCACCTCCACAGAATCAGAATTGAGTCTGGACTGGGGAATGGGCAGGACCAGGCCACCTAAGAGACCAGGCCAGCACCTTCCCTCCCACACACTGTCCCTCTTATTGTCTCATCTGATCTCCCAAAAGGCCAAGGGATACCAAAAAAAAAAAAAAAAAAAAAAAGAGGCTTCTTGTTCTCTTCAGACCCATAGAAAGCTGAGTCCCAGACTTGAGCAATGGCATAATGATGTGAAAAACAGGCCCTTCCTCTCAGCAGGAGCCTTTTGACTTTGCTCACAGAAAAGGTCAGTGACAATATTCTAGGGACACTTCTGGAAGTTGGCTTTTCTTGGATGACTTTTCTGATAGGACTCCACAATTCAGTCTCATTCACTTGTTTCCCTAGCACCCAACAACAAGGTCTGGGCCTCAAGAGGTATAGTGAGGGCTCGCTGAAGGAAATTAGGAGTAGATGATTGAGCATGTCGAGACAAGAAGATACATACTAAAACCAAAACTGAAAAATACAACGTCTGAGATGCAAAAGGCACTAGATGGAATTAACAGTAGATTAGATATAGCAGAAGAAAAGGTTACTGAATTTAAAGACATGAAAAAAAGAAACTATTACTAAACAAAAAGGACCAGTAGGTGGTATAATGGTTACGTCACTGGACTTCCACGTAGTTGACCACAGTTTGAGTACCAAACACATGGCTTGAAACACGCCGGGTGCATGTGTGTGGATGTCCAAAATCCCAAGAGGAGAATGGAGGAGAAGGGATTTCAGTATGGCCATCCCCCCAGGAGGTAATTTCTCACTTTCTGTCTCTTTGTCTCTCTGTCTGTCTTTCCAGTGAACACACATCCCCTATAGTAAAAATCTCTCTTAAAAAATTTTAAAATAATGAAACAAAAAGATAGACTGGAAAAAATTGAACAAAAGCTAGGCAGGGATGCAATGGCAATACAATTGGACCCCCATAGAAAAGGTTCTGGGTTCACATCCTGGGGCCCCCTGAGCACACTGGGTATATGCCCATATGTGTGCCTATGATATAACTAGCTAGGACTGGGAGTAGATCGTGGCATGAGAATCCTGTTGAAGTTCTCTCTCTCTCTCTCTCTCAGAAGAAGTGTATAAACTTGAAGAATAAAAAATAGAGAACACCAGTGAACTGTGGGACAATTTCACAAGGCCTAAAATGGAGTCCCTATAAATGGAAGTGGGGGTGGAAGGACAGAAAGAATATTTGAGAGGGAACCAGCAGGTGGCATGGTGGTTAAGGTGCTGGACACTCCCACATAAGCTGACCACAGTTTGAGTCCCGGATCTGGTGGCTTGCTGTCTCGCTTTCCATCTCTCTCTCTCTCTCTCCCCGTGTCTCTCTCTGGTCAAATTAAAATAAGTGAATGAATAAATAAATAAATAAATAAATAAAATAATTAAAGTAATAATAGTAATAATAATAATTGAGAGCCAGCCCTACAGTCTAGTGGTTAATGGAGTCAAATCCTACACAGCTGACTGCAGTTCAAATCCCACCCCCAGTGGTTTAAAAAACACACTGGTCATGTGTGTGTGTGTGTGTGTGTGTGTATCCAAAATCCTAACAGGGTGGAGAAGGGTTGCAGCATGACCATGCCCCACTAGGGGGTACTTTCTCCCTCTTTCTCTTTCTGTCTCTCTCTCTCTGGCAAGTACATGTGTCCTATGGCAATTTTTTAAAAAAGAAAGAAAGATGACTGAAACTTTTTCAAATTTGGTGAAAACTATAAACCCACATATCTAAGAAACAAAAAGTAATTCTGGCATGCTCTTGTACTCTGGTAAAAATGGAACATTTCGATGGAATATCAAAGTACGGGGCGGGGGGGGGGCGGGCAGAGAAGTAACTCTGAGGGCCGGCCCAGAGTGCAATAGTCAAGTGCCGAGCATAAAGAGCTGGATCTCACATGGCTGATCACGATTCAAATCCCAGCCCTGGCAGATTGAAAAACATGCCACACATATTTGCACATATGCCCAAAATCCTTACGGGATGGAGGAAAACAGATTGTGTGGCATGACTGTGCCCCATTGGGCATGCTTTCTCTCTCTCTACCCCCAACAAGATCATATGCCCTCTTGCAATGAAAAGGAGAAAAAGTAACTGAGGTAAGAACTGCCCATCATGAGCTGAATTCTGTCAGACTACCAAGTCATAAAACCAGGGAGATCCATCTTAATCTTGGAGTGGTATATCCAGGATTAGGTTCAAGCAGGTGCAGATGTGGGTAGTCTAGACTCCATGTCACCTGCAACTGGAGTCCAATGTCTCTCACTCAAACCACATCTATGTTCTTGGGAATTCCCTGAGGCACAGTGACAGAGGAAGGAAAGACCTTTGCCTAGTTCACAGTAAGGTTGGCTGGATATGTTGGCATGAGCTAAAAATGGCCTGCTGCCATAATGTATCTCAATGTAATCTTTGCAGTAAGACTGAAAGACAGTGGCGAGATGACATCACCCTAGTAGACAAAGCTTCAGGTGGTGAACTTAGCCATTCATTTGTGTGGAGAGAATTCATGGGCACTGGAAATGGCTTAGTTGGTTCGTGAGGAGCCTGGAAGTAGTGATCTGGAAGATCAGGGATGACAAGATTGAGGAAGAGGCACATGCATGGACCTAAGGCAGCTGGCACGAAGTGTAAGGATCTTTGTATTGTCTATTAGTATCCACCACAGAAGCTCTAAACAACCAAGCAAACAGAATAGCTTGGCCAATTGGCATCAGCCACCTTCTGTTCTCTGCCACTGCAGTGCTGGCACAGTGATCTCTGAACAAGGTAACCATGGTGGCATTGGTCAGCATCATGGGCTCTTTGTGACCAAAGCTGACCTAGCTACTGCCACTACCAGATTTCCAACATTTGATGCTCTGTCAGCATCAGAGACCAAGGCTCTACTAAAATGATGGAATGGCCACATGAAGGCTTAGGTAAAACTCCAGCTTAGAGATGACATCCTAGAGGATGGGGCACTATCTTCTGGGATGCAGTACATATTCTATACCAATAATCATTTTATGGGTCTTTGTCCCCAAAAGATATCATTTCCAGGGACCCACCTGAGGAATTTGTGCTTCATTTTCTACAACATTAAGTTCTCTGTGAATCTAGAAGTCCTGGTCACTAAAGAGGACACTTCTACCAGGAAACAGTAAAGCCGAAGCTATATCTGCTACCTGGGACAATTCATTCCAGTAGATCAGCAGGCACAGAAAGGAGTGACCACACTGCCAGTAGGAACTGACCTCATTCTTATGATTATGTAGGGCTACTGGCTATGTGATGGGGGCAGGTAGGCGTGATTGGCACTCAGGCATTAGGGGATGGGACATTACATCTCTTGATATTCCTAAGCCCAGTAAGTATAGACAGGTATGCTTGGTAATATGGCCTGATAAGGGCCAGACCATCAGGGATAAACCATCTAAAGGAGCCAAAGTGCTCCCCAAGAAGAGGAAAACCTTAGAATGGGCAGTGGAGAAGGGAGATTTTCAGTGTCAGTCATAGCCTTGGGGTCAGCTATAGCAGTAGGGACTATAGTTCATCACCCTAAGCATCTGTTATGGCTTGAATGTTTGTCCCCTTCAAAACTCACATAGAAATTTAACCTCCATTGTAATAGTATTACGATGTAGGACCTTTACGAGGTAATTAAAGGGCTGGCAGGTAATGTGGTGACTGGGGCACTGGACTCCTGAGTGGCTGACCGCACGCAGTTTGAGCCCCAAACCTGTTGGCTCTCTCCTTCTGTCTTTCTCTGGCCAATCTGAAGAATGACAATGGTAAATAAAATTGAAGGAATCATCCTTGGGATGAAAATTCTTTATAAAGGGAACCAGCAGTTAGCATAATGGCTATGTCACTGGACTCCCACGTAGTCGACTGCGTCCCGGACCTGGTGGCTTAAAACTCACGCCGGGCACATGTGCATGCATGCCCAAGATCCCGAGAGGATAATGGAGGAGAAGGGATTGCGGCGTGACCATCCCTCCTGGGAGGTGATTTCTTGCTTTCTGTCTCTATGTCTCTCTCTGTCTGGCGAGCACACGCACCCTATAGCGAAAACCTTTACAAAAAACGAAAAAAAAAATTATTTTTAAAAAAGAGGTGATTAGGCCATGAGGGCTTCCCCCTTGAGGATGGGATTAATGCTGTTGTGAAGGTGATTTCATCCTACCTTTGCCTCTCATACCCTTCCACCTTTTACCATGTGATGACACAGCAAGCAGGCCCTTGCCAGATACTGGCACTTTGATAT